GGAGTACAGGTTGAACCTCTCCATTCCAGCACTTTCCATGGTGCAGAATGCTTTTAGTTAGCTGGATGTCCATTTGTCATGTGTTTGGCCAAGTTTCCCATATAGTTTTTTTTGTTTTGTTTGTTTTTTTAAACACAGGCACCAGTCCTGGCTCTCTGTGCTCTGTGCTGTTCTTTAGCTGTAATTTACCCCTAAATGTATTCTAAGAGCCCCATAAGCAGTGAAAGTGCTTGTAATACTGCTATAACCATATTGACCTCTCGTGGATTGTCAAATTCTCTGGTTTGGCACCAGTCAGGTTCAGAGGGTGTTGAACTAGGGAGGTTCAACCTGTAATTGATTCACTTTTCTTCCTGACCCACAGACAGCATGAAACAATTACCACAAAGTGGTTTGAACTGCCCCATCTATCCTTATGTGGCATTCACTCTGAAACCCAGCCCAAAGTGTCCCCTCACCACCATCCAGATGCCAAAGCCCTTAGTTTTCCCCAATGACTTCTGCAACGTAGTTGTGTGCCCCACCGGCAAAGCGTATTAGAAAATGAGAAGAGACTGCCACACTGGGACTCCTGTATTGAGGTCATTAGGTATGTATTATAAACAATGCTATTTTTAGTATTAAAAATGGATGCACAAGTCCCAGCATGGCATGCTTAATTGCTACAGAAGCCAGGAAAGCGCTGTTGCAGAATTTAGATTTAAATTGCTAGGGAGTTCTCGAGGGCTTCAGCTATAAGAAAGTGCTCAGCCATTTAAAGCACTGATATTATCTAAGACAAGTGGCAATATAAGGCCCACTACACTCACATGTACGCCCATATCCCTTCCACTTCTGTATGTATAGCCCTCTACAGTCTTTGGACAAACATACAGTAAGGATGGCACCCACATCACCCTTCGGTGGGATCCCACATCCCCCTTCAGTGGGCACAATTTCTTTCTGCATGTGCTGCTAAGATCAGTATAAGGATGGCTGAGCACAACACCACCACAGATAGTTCTGGGGCTAGAAAGTCTGAGAAACAAGATGAAACCAGCACACAAGCAAATTTTAGGGAAAATGGTGCAATACAGATAGTCCCAGACTCTGGAGAGCATCTGCTATAGGGAACAGACCAGCCCAGAGGATGGATTAGATGACTAAGTCTTCTTCCCTATACGTGAGGTTTTGAAAGCTCTGTTTAGCAAGCCTAGCATATACTCCATTTATGTTCAGTGCACTATGATTAACTGCTTCTTTTGACCACCAGATTTATAACATTTGTCAAAATTTTAATTAAAGGTGCATGCTGAGCATCAAAATCGCCACCCTACCGACTCAGCAGTGACAAGAGCAGAGCATGTAGCTGTGGAGATCTGATTCGCAAGGTGCTAAGCTCCTTGCATGATGATGGTATGACCGTGACAATATGGTAGTTTTTTCACAATGAGGAGGACTGTTTCAGAGGAGTTAGACTGTGAAGCAACAGACATGTTGGAGGCTGATAGCCAGAAACTGATGAGGGTTTTTGATCAAGTTCATCAATTTGTTAGGGTTACCAACACAAAAGAGGTGTACAAACCTCTTCTATCCTTGTGAGGCAGCTCCTGTCATCGAGAGGCAGATTTTTTTTTTATCTGCACTTGCCAATCAAGCCCAGCAACTAACTCTTAATAGTGACAAGAGTCCTTGATCTCTGTTCACTGAAGCAAGAGTAATCAGCAGTACAATTCTATCGGCTTTCCCCAGAAACTTGTTCCACTATCCCTGAGCTCTATGGACCTTAGGGCTTGTCTACACTACCACTTATTTCAGTATAATTTATGGTGCTCAGGGGTGTGAATAACCACACCCCTTGAGCAATATAAAACTACACCCACGTAAGTGCTGGGTGTAGACAGCACTACCTCAGTGGAAGAATTTCTCATGCCAACATAGCTATTGCCTTTCACAGAGATGAAGTATTTAGGAGGATGGGAGAGCTCTCTCCTATCTTAGAAAAATCTCCAGACATGCTACAGAGGCTCAGCTGCACTGCTGTAGTGCTTCTAGTTAGACTAGCCCTTATTTGTTCCTTAAGGATTTTTTTGTCCCAGAAGTACAGTTCAGAGTGGATCACCTGCTTGTCCCAGAGATATCAGAGTGCCCATGCTGATCACCCATACATACGCAGGGATCTGTTTTGGGACTGGCTCTGTTTGATAGCTTCATCAACAATTTAGATATTGGCATAGAAAGTACACTTATTAAGTTTGCAGATGATACCAAGCTGGGAGGGGTTGCGACTGCTCTGGAGGATAGGGTCATAATTCAAAATGATCTGAACAAATTAGAGAAATGGTCTTAGGTAAATAGGATGAAGTTTAATAAAGACAAATGTAAAGTGCTCCACTTAGGAAGGAACAATCAGTTTCACACATACAGAATGGGAAGCGACTGTCTAGGAAGGAGTACGGCAGAAAGGGATCTAGGGGTTATAGTGGACCACAAGCTGAATATAAGTCAGCAGTGTGATGCTGTTGCAAAAAAGCAAACATGATTCTGGGATGCATTAACAGGTGTGTTGAGAGCAAGACAAGAGAAGTCATTCTTCCGCTCTATTCTGAGCTGGTTAGGCCTCAGTTGGAATATTATGTCCAGTTTGGGGCACCGCATTTCAAGAAAGATGTGGAGAAACTGGAGAGGGTCCAGAGAAGAGCAACAAGAATGATTAAAGGTCAAGAGAACATGACCTATGAAGGAAGGCTCAAAGAATTGGGTTTGTTTAGTTTAGAAAAGAGAAGACTGAAGGGGGACATGATAGCTGATTTCAGGTATCTAAAAAGGTGTCATAAGGAGGAGGGAGAAAACTTGTTCATCTTGGCCTCTGAGGATAGAACAAGAAGCAATGGGCTTAAACTGCAACAAGGGAGGTTTAGGTTGGCCATTAGGAAGAAGTTCCTAACTGTCACGATGGTCAAACACTGGAATAAATTGCCCAGGGAGGTTGTGGAATCCCCATCTCTGGAGATATTTAAGAGTAGGTTAGATAAATGTCTATCAGGGATGGTTTAGACAGTGTTTGGTCCTGCGATGAGGGCAGGGGACTGGACTCGATGACCTCTCAAGGTCCCTTCCATTCCTAGTATTCTTTGATATAGTACAGTGGCTAGATTCACAGGGGGTTTCTCCACTTACTATGCAACATTTAACAGAGACCAGTTACTTATATATCCATCAATATTACAATACCACAAACAAAAAGGAATTTTTACAGTTTTACTTACTATAAGAATGGCTACAAAACAGGCCAGTGTTGTTTTCCAGTTTCTCCAAGGCCTAGCTTGACACCCCCTGTTGAAGTGAAAAATTCAAATCAATGCTCCTGTTTCTTTATTTTCCCTGGTTCTCCCTCCTCTAATGCAACTGATCAAAGTTTCCACTCTTGACTACTGCTACAGACTACCATGCGGACATTAGTTTTCCATGGCACAGTTATTTGGATCCTCCTTCTATAGGCAGCCTACTTATTCACTTGCCTAGCTTGACACCCCCTGTTGAAGTGAAAAATTCAAATCAATGCTCCTGTTTCTTTATTTTCCCTGGTTCTCCCTCCTCTAATGCAACTGATCAAAGTTTCCACTCTTGACTACTGCTACAGACTACCATGCGGACATTAGTTTTCCATGGCACAGTTATTTGGATCCTCCTTCTATAGGCAGCCTACTTATTCACTTGACAGAAGTGAACAGACTTCCCTCTATAAGATGCACAAAACTTCTGAACATTTCTTCTACCATAATTAGGGCTGGTTGGAAGATTTCATTAACTGGAAAGAAGCTCCTCTCCCACCCTCTGCAAACCTACTCTACGAGCTTCAGCATTACAATAGGACAATTTCTCAAACTCAGTGGGCACCATTCAGTAGGAAACATTTGCCTAGTAAAGGCTGCTCTGCATAAGATTTGGTACTAGTTTAACTATAGCGAATTAGACACAGATCTAGTCAAAATGGTTCCAACTGCCTAGCATAGGCAATCGAACTAGGATAAGAGTGCTTATATCAGCATAGTTTAGGATTACCTGACTTTAAATGCCTTTATACCAACTATAGCTGCATCCACCCTATGGGGTTCCCCCGACAACTATATCCATTTAGAAAGCAACACAGCTGCATCAGTTTCTGAATGGATATCATTAAATTAGTACCAAAAACCCAAACAGTGTGTGAAGACCTTAGGAAACAGAGCCTCCTGTTCTAAGCATACTTAGAATAGATACTGCAGCATGAGAATCCTAGTAGTCAGTTTGATATCCTTCTTACTCACAGTCATATCTTACTTTTTAGATTGTCCCATTCATTTCAGTGGAATGGCTCAGAAAGCAAAGTGCTCCCAACATGAGGAGTGGGAGAATTTGACCCTTACAGTCTAGGGTAGGAATGCCATTTAAAAAGCACACTGTCAAGTCTGATTTGCCTTACTTTCCTCCTCTTCCAGCTCCTCTAATAAGGACGCTGTTGGATGGATCGGAGCTGGACTCCTGGCCTCAGAGATTTCAGAATCCACGTATGTAGGATTGTCATGGTTCTCTCTCACATCTTCAGCTGGGTTCCCACAAAAACAAGACACCAAGCCACACACCAAAGAAGGAGACAAAAATAACACTATCTACGTTAATCAAATATTTTTAGAAACATAAGGTCAACACCTTTTATGGAACCTATACCAAACCAAAAGAACATGTGGCCAAAGCCTGTGTACAGCAGTAGTTTTCATTAGGAGTGGATCAAATATAGATTCTAAATAAGTTTGTTAAGAGTACATATCTAGAATGTTATCTGAAATAGTAACAATGCCATCATACCATGGTCCCCTTTGGCAATTTGTTAGCATTTGAGAGCTGCACTAATCTTCAGACAGAATAGAGCACCTTTCTTGTCTTTAGAGTGATGGTGTCCAAGCCAACACCCACCGAACTCAACACAAGTCTTTTCAGAATGGCATCTAGACTGATCTAGCAATGAAGTTGATGGAATCTGTCATCTTCTCTACAGCACTAATGAAAAGGCACTTGCTGCATTTTTCATGCAGCATCTAACCCTTTTTTAAAATAGCCTGTCAAAATACTGCCTTGTTGAAGTAAAATGGCTTCAACACATTCCTCTGCATGCAATACAACAGGAACTTTGAGATCTCTCCCCCAATTACAGTTAAAAACATAGTTGCAAATACAGGCAAGCAGACTAAAATGTTAGTATTACCCGTCACCAGACAGTTGGCTTCTAATCTATGCCAAGGCATGATTGCTGCTCTATACTTAGTACATTGACTAACATACCGGTAGTTATACTTGGTTTATTCTGAACATATTGAGCCTGAAGGCTCATTTGTTCTGTCCTCACCCCTTTAAAAAAATTAAATACTCTGTTAAGAGAGCTACTACTAGTTTCTGAAGTGCAACAGAAGCAGATATTTTTAGTGATTTAATGGGACAGCCATTTAATGGGACAGCCATTTATAGTAAAAGCAACTCACTCCCCAAGATACTACATCACAAGTCAGGTTTGGCTAATTTCTTTTTAAGACATGCACTTTTGTGTTAAGACAAGTTATAATATAAACTTTAATTATCAACCCCAATTATGTGAAAAACCCAGAAGTGCCCTAAGCATTTAGATAATTGGGGTTTTACTAACTGCACTTGAAGACATATTAAAAATGCTTTATACAAAGCAATGAAATCTTAATTCCAGACCTACCTACAGCATTCTGTAAACTTGTATTGACAAGCTAGGTAAGGACTTGAGGGAAAAAAACCCAAATCTTTCAGGTTTCACTATAATCCTGCCTAGTATGCAACATGACAAATGACAAAACATGCACAAGTTTAATTAAGAAGGGGCCTGCATTTATTAGATCACAGATTTGCAATTTGAAAACCAAAGACACTGTAACTATAGGACATTATCCTCCATCAAGAATGAAACAAACAAACCTGAATCCCATGTCTGCTGACTACAGCCTATTGATGCTGGGTCTGGCTTTGCCATTCCTATTGTCCACACCATAGCAGCTGTAAAGAAAAGAAAGAATGTGTGTAGACAATTGCAGGTCACTGACTGTTCAGCTAGAGAATATTTCAGTGATTCTACTTTCATCCTGAATTTTACACAACAAGCAAACATCTTCCTGGGGAAACACACTCAAAACCCACACCTTAGATTATCTCTAAAATAGTATAGTCCCATTCCCTTATTTACTTTGCAAGGTGGAAGGGGGAGGAGAGGAGGCAACGCAGCATATTACACATGGCAGTACTGATGTAACAAGTTACTGCATCTAATGAAGCCATTTTGTTTTCTATGGCTCTTGGAACCTTACCTTTCCAAGTCATCGTCTTCCTCATTTGTAGCCACTTCATCTGCTAAAGGAAAGGGGGAGCCCAGGGAAAAGTGCTATTAAGGGGAGAGTTAATGGTAGGTTTTCTGTAGCATTCTGTGTTACATTCTTTCTTTTCCACTTACCTATAATGGAAAGGGATTTTTCTGTTTTTTAAATTACCTCTTGTTTTTTTGAGGAGGATGTTGGAAGTCTCTTGGGAGGTCAGTGACAATACCCAAGGGCAGCCAGAGGAAGGTTTGGGATTTAACTTTTGAGTTGATCCCCTAGTGCAAGGACGGCATGGGGCCCTTTTGAAATCAGAAGAGAGGCAGAGATTTACTCAAGATGTATGCTAGGGCTCTGGTTCCTTTCCTGGAAGCATTGAGAGAGCCAAGGCAGACAGATAAAGACTGCTCTTCCGTTCAAGGTTCAGTTATGGCTTGGAAGCATCCATAGACTTCAGTCTTACAATGGACACATGGGTGTCAGGCAAAATAAACTTTGTGTTGAGTTACAGTTTACTGCGGTTTTTTTCTTCTACAGCGGAAGATGTTCATGATCTAGTAGCTGTGCTGAGAGTCACACTTTATCCAGAGCCCTTTCTCCCTCCCTCAGCTTAATGGAAACCTTGCTAAAAAGCACAACATCCAGGGGAATCCTCTCCAATCACTCTATGGCTCTGGGATGAGCCAGGAAAAGGGTTCATTAAAAGAGCAGCTATATTAGCCTATGTCAATTCCCATCCGCCACACTGAGTATCCTGTATCTAAGAGAAAGGTTTATCATGTACTCAGCGCTATTCATATAACCTCTGCAGCAATGTTACTGTGGTAGTAGCCATAGCATTACTGCTTTCTCCACAAGCCTCCTACTTAGGGATTTATCACCACAAATGTGTCACTTCTGGAGGTAAGAGATTTGTCAGGCGAGGAAAACTGGGTAGACTAAGAAGAGGTAAAGAACACCTGCACTCCCACCCATCTTCCTATATGGATTTAATGGTCTCACAGCTTAATGAAGACATTAAACATCTGAGGTCCCAAGCTCTTAGAAGTACTTGTGCCTTTCCTGAATAATATATTTTTTAAATGGGGGGTGGGAGCAGGGGAAAATGCTGCCTCAATAAAAAGTTACTGATTGATAGTGAAAATGTGTAACAAGCAGCAATACAAAAAAAAAAAAAAACCCCAAATCATACACTGCACCTGCAATCCCCGCCCTGGAGGGAGAAGGAGAGGAGAACCAGCCCTGTGACAGATGTTTGACATCTTGCTTATTGCCCTACAGAAAAGTGCCCACACACAGCAGTGTGATAAGAGTGGCCATTTATCTATACAGGCTAGAAAGGGCTCCTACAGCCAGCCTATGTGCTCTACAGAGTAATCTGCCATCAGGACTATTGTACATAGGTTTCTTTGGCAGGGTGCAGTCATCTCAGTGCAACATCTGAGCAGTGCAGGCCAGACACTACTGTAGCAGCTAATGTCCTGTAATAGCCCTTATAAGACTATACTCTTTAATAATGCCCGTTTGGAGCTGTATGCAGGAATCAAAATAGGCATAAATGGGTTTAATTTGTGTGCAGTGGTCACCTGCTAATACACACCTCGTGGAACGAGGTGTACCGGTAGTTCGGAATAGGAAGCCTAATCCGAACTACCTAGTCCATGCCGCGTGTAGCCACGGTCACGGAGCCCAAACTAGCGGGGCTTTAAAAATGGTGGCGCCTGGCAAGATGCAAATGAAGCCCGGGAAATTCAAATCCCGGGCTTCATTTGCAACTTCGGTTGCCTACATTAACCACCCTAGTTCGAACTAGGGTGGTAGTGTAGACATACCCTAGCAGTGCTTGACTTTGCAGACTTACTGCTTGGCTGTGTCTACACTGGCATCCCTTCCGGAAAAGGGATGCTAATGTAGCACTTTGGAATAGGCAAATCCGCGGGGGATTTAAATATCCCCCGCGGTATTTGCATTAACATGGCTGCCGCTTTTTTCCGGCTTGGAGATAAGCGCCAGTCTAGACGTGATTCTCCAGAAAATAAAGCCTTTTCCGGAGGATCTCTTATTCCTACTTTCAAGTAGGAATAAGAGATCCTCCGGAAAAGGCTTTATTTTCCGGAGAATCACGTCTAGACTGGCGCTTTTCTCCAGCTTATCTCCAAGCCGGAAAAAAGAAGCAGCCGTGTTAATGAAAATACCGCGGGGGATATTTAAATCCCCCGCGGATTTGCCTATTCCAAAGTGCTACATTAGCATCCCTTTTCCCGAAGGGACGCCAGTGTAGACACAGCCCTAGTGTTTAAGGCCACAATAGGCTGATTCACAGCTTGAAAGATGTTGACTGTAACCCACACAACATGCATGCCAATGTTAAAGTGACAAAAACTGATAAATCAGCATTTAAACAACTGAATTTCTAATGGCATGTCTAGACTACAGTTTGTGACCTTATTGTAGTTTTAGTTAGTTGACCACCTTTATAAATACTAGTTTGGACAATATACAAGTGTTTGTTCCAGGATAAATACTCTGGCAATTCTGTGAGCTAGGAGCTAAGGAAAATGCTGCTCATTGGTACAGTATGGACATAAGCTTGGAGCTGATATATATCCAGTTAAAATATTAGCATTTAAATCTGGAAAAGATCACTCACATGAATATATTAATGCAGGAAATATTGGTTCATTTCTCTCCTGTGCAGTTTCTACCAGCATTCTCAATGGTCCTTTGGGACACAGAACAGCTATCAGATCTGTGAAGAAAAAAGGGTTAGACTCTGATCTCAAGCCACATGCTCTGTACATTTCAAATCTCATGGGCAATTCTTCCCCATCTCCCGTCAAAATGGCATCTAAAGATATTCTGGGAGCGTGGGGCATGTGGGTGCAGAAGTTGGAGCAGGGTGTCGGGAAGCATGGAAGGCTCAGGGCATGAGGTTGGGGGGGAGGGGGCAAAAAGTCAGAGCAGGGGTGGGAGCAGCTGCATCACAGGGCTCCTGGGGAAGGGGAGCAGCCCACCCATCAGTTGTGGGTGAGGGGGGCACCATGTGGACCAGCTGGCAGCTGCTCCCCAGAGCTGGGGTGCTTGGTGCTCACCTGAGATCATTCTGGGGTGTAACTGTCCTCTGTGCTTGGTGCCCACCTATTGTCATTCTTGAATACCACTGTCCCTATCATGATGTACAGTTGGTAAAATTACCGTAACACCATCTCATAATTAGTCTGTCTGAAGACTCCTTCCTTTGCTGAAACACAGCCTTCCAGTTCAAACGTTAAAAGATTTTTTTTAGTGTACTGGCTAATATTAATGCACTAAAATAGACCCTCATTTCCTTAAAATGAGACTGTATCACACTGAAGGTGTACAGAATCAGAGTGCACATTAATAAAATACGTTTCAACATCCATTGTTTCAAGACTCTTATTATTTTGTCATTTATAGAGCTCATGCATTTGTACTTTTCATTCCTGGATGCCAGCTTATCCCTGGAAAACTCCCAACTATTTAGAATGTCAGCTGATAAGTTTCCCCCAGAGTTGCCAGTAAAGCCGTACTTCTGTATGTGATGCCAAAAAAATACACTTTCCCAGTAAGGAGCCAAAGAGCTTTGCACTACTGCCAGGTTATGACTGGGTAAAACCAACTTACCACACCAATCCGATACATTCAGTCTTTCCTTCTCCATAAGTTCTGCACTTTAAAGACAGACATTATAACAGTCACATTCAACCCCTACCATAAATGGAAATGGCTCCTAGAATGACCCACGCTGACCATTCGGGCAGATATTTAATGAAAACCAATGCCATCAGCGCACTAATCATAATGAGATAGGCCTGCTGGAGCTGCAACGGACCCTTCCAGTGGATACAGATCATCCCAACGGCTCCAAAATTCCAGATGACAAAGAACAAGGTGGGGTAATCCATGGCCACATTGTAGGTCTTCAGCACTTCGCTGCAAAACAAACCAAAGGTGATTTAGCCAAACGATATCCAACGGACAAGCAAGATGCCTTCGCAGCACTAGTCAAATAGTTAGACCTCCAGGCCGACTAAGATGAAGTGGGTCCCGAATTAAAAATATTCCACTTGCCCAAGAGAAGGGCTGTGACAGATCTGTAAGGTGAGCCGCCCCATTCCCAGCATCAGACTCCACAGTGGCCACGCTGTTGTACTGGACTGACATATGCAGCAATCACAAGGCCTCGCTGGAAGCAGTAGCAGCTCCACAAACTCATTGCTCTCACCCACAGCAAAAAATGCCATCATTATTTCCCCATCACTAATTGCCCACCAGCATTGCTGTCAATGACAGCTCCCAGTTCTCCATAGTTTTATGGCGGGAAGTACAGGAGGGCACTACATAGCACAAAAATATTGCATTGCCTTACACTTTGGGGTTGACAGCGAGTGACACCAATGATTGGAATGCTCAGTCAGGTGAGCAGCATTTCCAAACTGAGCAGAAAATAAGAGGCAGTGGGGTGGACAGCATTTAGCAGAGATAGCAAAGGAGAAGCACCCTGTCCAAGGTACAATTTTCAAAACCAAATTAAAAAAAAAATTAATCCCATTAGCAAGCTAGATGTGAGGTGTGACCCAGCACTGAAGTTAAGGGGAAAAGATTGGCTGAGGTGTGGCAAGTGTAAAATAATGCATATTGTTTCAAGTCACAGCACTCCACTCCTGCACCCTCAAAAAAAGCTCACTTAGGCCCAGCTTTTCAGGTGCCACTACTCAAAATGGGCTGTTCAGTGTAGAGCTCACTATTCAAGTGGCAAACTTCAGGAGCCCAAACGTGGAGCTTTTTGGGTGAGGGTACGTAATTTGCCATTTTTAAAAAGGCAAAGATGAAGCAACCATAGGTTTACCACCATCCACCAAGTCTTAGTTTGCCTGACAATATTTTATAAGTGTGCTAGTTGATGAACCATAGTGCATTTTGTAAAGACAACAAAGTCTGAGTAACAGGCAGCTTCTCTACAGCTACTCTTCAGTCTTTGAAGAGAGATGAGGGAGAGACCAGTATTTTTTCTTTGGTACCAGTTTTACTGCCTGCTGAAAACACAAGGGTGTCATGAATTACTATAGTACAAGCAGAATGTTTGTGCTTACCCTAGATAGATGTAGGTGAAAAGGAAAAGCAGCATCAGTGATGAAAGAATCAGCCAACCGTGGATAAACTGTTCAATGGAAAGACAAGAGAGAATCTGACATGGCTGGATGGCTTCTTCTCCATGGTGTAGTGTTGCATGCAGCAGTGTTGTCAGGGACCTCCACAGGTTGCCAGACTGACAGGTCTTCCCCTTAGCACACATGCACTCCATTGAGAAGGGTAGCTAGTTACCACCCCCACCCCCATTTTCCCGATCTTTCTTTCCAAGCTCCTTGAGCATGCTACCTGCAGCCTGCTGCTTTGGTTTCCTCTCCTCCAGTTCCCTTTTGAATCCACTGCACTCTGACTTCCAACCTTTCCACACACAAACGTTCCTGGCTCAACTTACCAATGGCTGGCTCCTCAAAGCGAGAGAGGGCTGCCATTAACTGCAATTATCCTGCTAAATTTATCTTCTGCTTTCACAGCTGATCCCTTCCTCCTTGGACTCTCTCAGTTGTCCTCAGGATTGTCCTTCTGTCTCTACATCTGACCACTTAGTAAGTTCCCCTTCTCCCCCCGTAGCCCGTTGGTATCCCCCCCAGGGTTCTGTTCTTGATCACCTTTTTCTTCTTTCTCTGTAAAGACATTCAGCTACTAGTATGTTCAAGTTTACATCTCAATTTCTAGTCTCTCCACCTCATAGAAGAAATCTCACATCTCTTCCTGGGCAGCCTGCTGCCACTTCACACAACATGACAAGAAATTAATTGGTTTTTCCTCTAACTACTCTCCTCTTCTTGCCCTACCACACTCACCACAGACAACTCCAAACCAATCCTCACAGCCAGGAACTACCTACTTCCTCAGAAAGCTGGTATTACACTGTTGAAGAACAGGAAACTGATGGGATAGAGTAGATCAGGTCTACTCAACATGCGTTTTTGACCTGCGGTGGATTTGGGTTTATGCAGGGCTCAACGCACGGCCTGTGGGTAGGATCCTTTGAACATGGCCTCCACTGGGAACATATTATACAACGGCGAGGCATCTCCCAAGCAGGGTTAGCATTGAAAGACACAAGCACACGGGCTGGCTCAAAGACTAGTACAGGGTGTCGGTATTTCTAACCTCCAAGGTGGTGGTGCTGGAAGCACTGGGGCATTGTGGGAAGGGCTTTGTATTCATGCCTGTCAGTGTGAAAGAAGCTATTTGCATATATATTTGCATGTATATGCAACCACACTTAAGTTACAGCCCTCGGCATGTACTGAGAGTATCACTGTGGCCTCCGGGGCTTCCAAAGTTGAGTATCCCTGGTGTAGATATACCAAGACATCTTTGTTTGCTAATATCAGTCAGGAAAGAAATTAAATTCTGTCATCTCTTCATGCAAAGCTACAGGATACAAGCCAAAATGGAAACAACAGCACAAAGTCACAGACTTTTAACTTACAGGAAGAGATAGCCTAGGGATTGGGGGGAGGGGGAGGGGAGAGAGTTGATTGGGGAGGAAATCCACAAGTTTTATTTAATAAAAACTTAGGTTAACCTAGTGCTAGACAGCACTTGTACAGCTGTTATATGTGAAGTGTATTTTTGCTCAAATTTAAGTACGTGAGTGACCATACTTAAAAAGCCAACTAAAAGAAATAAAGACCAAAAAAACCATGTGGTTTCTTTTCAGTGTAGAACTTTATGCAACAGCTGTTTGAGTTTTAGTTTGTCACACACAAGAGAAGGAGATGGGGCCTGTGTGGTTTTGGTTTTACTCTCTAAAAAAAACCTATCTATGAGTTCCCAACAGTTTAAAAAAAAAGGAGCAAGAGAGAGACCAGCAGCAGGTTAGTTATCTCTGAATGCCAACTGGCTGCGAAGAGTTATAAAGTCTATAACTGCTGGAAATGGCTACTTTACAAGGCGATTCCTATTATGTGTAAAATTTAGAAGAAGTAATACAATGCCTACATGTCTCTCACCAACACATAAACCCTCTCCAAACTAGTTTGTGGTGCTTCCGCTGATTACTATAGGACTTGTATGTCATCCTGCATAAATCTCTTACCTTGTAACAACGATATTTATACAGCACAACTAGGAACACTGTCATTACGATGATAACACTGATCATTATGATGGTGTTCAGCACAGAGTTCAGAAGACGCTGGCCCACAGAAGGTGTATCTTCACTAAAAGGGGTGTAGATCCTGCAGAGAAAAGAGACACATTGTAGCAGACAGGAATAAATAAATATATGGAGATATGTCTATCTCATAGAACTAGAAGAGACCTTGTGAGGTCATTGAGTCCAGTCCCCTGTGCCCATGGTAGGACCAAGTACCATCCCTGACAGATTTGCCCAAGAATCCTAAATGGGCCCCTCAAGGGCTGAACTCACAACCC